ACTTATTTCCTAGGATTGTTGTGCGGATAAAATGTGATAATATTTGGAACGTGCTTTGCAAACGTTAAAGTGCCATGTAAATGCTAGCTAATGTTATATAGTATGAATGAAGGATAATAGATGGAAGGTAGCATGGTTACTTATATCCAGAGGGGGGCAAAGCACTTCTGTGTGATTCCTTGATGATTCTTTGTTAACAAGGTTAACACTGATAAGGCTTTTTTGTTCTTGTATTGATGATATCTCCTTAATAAGGTATGAACTCGTATTTCAATGGGGTTGACACAACATTCAGGATAATTGATTGAGTCATGGTTAGTCATGAAATCTTGACATTGCCTCAAAAGGAAGAGCAGACATAAAGAGATGAAAAATAGATGGTGTAGTAAAAGCAGTGACTTGCTTGAGCTCTCCCCCAAACCCCTCCAAATCCTATAAAAAATGGCTCTAAAAAAATTCTAGAGCAGCATAACCCACAAAAAGACAGAATGAAACAAATTTCCAGCCCGAGGTAACCTGGATGGTTGATTGGAAAGGTCTATTGCTCCGGGCAGGGAGAGGAACACATTTCAGCATGGGCATACAGGCAAAGAACAGGCCTCAGTGAACCTGGAGCAGGCTTCAGGGGACTAAATCACGGGCAGCTGTGGTGGTTTCCAGACTTCTTAATCCAGAAATGCCAAAGACAACTTAGAAGGTCAGTAGGAAAAGGTCTGTGACCACAGTGAGAGAGAAGCGCAGTCCCAGCCCCTTTCCCCGCATAGCCCCAGGATGGTGGCTGCTTCCAGAGTTCTCAGCTCTGAAGAGACTGAGAAAGAATTGAGTGGCTGATCAGAGGGGGATTGCAGGGATCTCTTGCTTTGCCCATGCTTAGATTGGGGTCACAGTTCTGGGTGGCAGTCCTGGAACAGGTAGGAGGCTGGCGTGGTGGAACTTGTAGTGGTTGTGATGAGAAAATCCTCCTCACAGTTGCAAGGCAGAAAAGAGTGCTTGTGGTCATTCACAGACCAGAGCAAAGGCCAGGAAAGGATTAAACACCTCGCCCTTGATTATAATGCTTTGGAAGAAGTGAAAATTTACAGGTCCCCAGAAATATCTATGAAAACAGCTGCACAAAACTCCTGAAGCTTGGAACAGTGTATTCTCCACACTGGAAGCAGATCCCTACCTTAACAAAAGTTTGAAACTTAAGTAATTGGCTGGGAACATGAGCAAACTGCACCAAAAAAATCAGGGGCCATAGATCTTTCTTTGGTGACAAAGAAGATCAAAACATACAAATAGAAGAAGACAACAAAGTCAAAGCTCCTACATCCAAAGCCTCCAAGAAAAAATATGAATCTGTCCCAGGCCATGGAAGGGCTCAAAAAGGATTCTGAGAAGCAAGTAAGAGAAGTAGAGGAAAAACTGGGAAGAGAAATGAGAATGATGCAAGAAAATCATGAAAAAACAAGTCAACAGTTTGCTAAAGAAGCTACAAAAAAAATACTAAAGAAAATAACACCTTAAAAATAGACTAAGCCAGGGGCAGCTAGGTGGCACAGTGGATAGAGCACTGGTTCTGGAGACAGGAGGACCTGAGGTCAAATGTGGCCTCAGATATATAACACTCACTAGCTATGTGACTCTGGGCAAGTCACTTAATCCCAATTGCCCTCACAAAAAAAAAATAGACTAAAACAAATGGCAAAAGAGGTCCAAAAATCCAATGAGCAGAAGAATGCCCTATAAAGCAAAACTGGCCAAATGGAAAAAGAAGTCCAAAAGCTCACTGAAGAAAATACTTCCTCAAAAATTAGAATAGAACAATTAGAAGCTAGTGACTTTATGAGAAATCAAAACATTGTAAAACAAAACCAAAAGAATGAAAAAATAGAAGACTGTGAAATATCTCATTGGAAAAAAGTGACCTGGAAAATAGATCCAGGCGAGATAATTTAAGAATCGTTGGACTATCATCATCTTTCAAGAAATTATCAAGGAAAACTACCTTGATATTCTAGAACCTGAGGGTAAAATAGAAATGGAAAGAATCTACCAATCACCTCCTGAAAGAGATGCTCAAAGGAAAACTCCTAGGAATATTGTAGCCAAATTCCAGAGTTCTCAGGTCAAGGAGAAAATATTGCAAGCAGTCAGAAAGAAACAATTCAAGTATTGTGGAAACACAACCAAGATAACACAAGATTTAGCAGCTTCTACATTAAGGGAGCAGAGGACTTGAAATATGATATTCCAGAGGGCAAAGGAGGTAGGATTATAGCTAAGAATACCCTACCCATCAAAACTGAGTATAATCCTTCAGGGGAAAAAATAGACATTCAGTGAAATAGAAGACTTTCAAGCATTCTTGATAAAAAGACCAAAGCTCAATAGAAAATTTGATTTTCAAATACACGACTCAAGAGAAACATGAAGAGGTAAACAAGAAAGAGAACCGTAAGGGACTTATTAAGGTTGAACTGTTTACATGCCTGCATGGAAAGATGATATTTGTAACTCATGAGATCTTTGTCACTATTAGGGTAGTTGGAGGGAAAAAATTATATGTATGTATGTATGTATGTATATATATATATGTATATATATATATATACACACATATATATACATATATATATGTATATATATGTGTGTGTGTGTGTGTATGGAGAGAGAGAGAGAGAGAGAAAGAAAGATAGATAGATAGATAGATAGATAGATAGATAGATAGATAGATAGATACAGGGCACAGGGTGAGTTGAAGATGAAGGGGTGATATCTGGAGAATAAAATTAAGGGGTGAGAGAGATTATACTGGGAGAAGGAGAAAGGAAAAGTAGAATGGGGTAAATTATCTCACATAAAACAGACAAGAAAAGGATTTTACAGTGGAGGGGAAGTGGGGGAAGGTGAGAGAGAATGAATGAATCTTATTCTCATCAGATTTGGCTTAAGGAAGGAATAACATACAAACTCAATTGGGTATAGAAATCTATCTTACCCTACAGGAACATAGGGGGAAAGGGGATAAGAGAGCAGGGGGATGATAGAAGGGAGGGCAGACTGGGAGAAATGTAATCAGAAGCAAACACTTCTGAGGAGGGACAGGATCAAAAGAAAGAATAGAATAAATGGGGAGTGGGATAGGATTAAAGGAAAAATAATTAGTTTTTTCACAAGATGACTACTGTGGAAGTGTTTTACATGACTACGCATGTATGACCTGTATCAAGTTGCTTGCCTTCTCAATGAGGGTGGGTGGGGAGAGAGGAAGGGAGAAAATTTGGAACACAAAGTCTTAAAAATTAATGTTAAAAATTGTTTTCACATGCAGCTGGGAAATAAGATATACAGGCAATAGGGTATAGAAATCTATCCTGCCCTACAGGAAAATAGAAAGTGAAGGGGATAAAAGAAGTAGGGGAGATAGAAGGGAGGGCAGATTAGAGAAGGGGTATTTAGAATGCATGCCATCTTGGGGTGGGGGGAGGGACTAGATGGGGAAAATTTGGAAGTCAAAATTTTGTGGAAGAGAATGTTGAAAACTGAAAATAAATATATTAATAGAGGAAAAAAATTGAAAAAAAAAAAGAGATGAAAACTACAGAGAGAATTAGAGCAAAGGTGACCATGAAAAATCTGGTCAGGCACTTAACCCCAGAGCTCCTCCAAGGAGCGAAGGAGAGAGAATCACGTGCTTAGATATGAGAGTAGAGGCAAGTGAGAATAGATGGAAGTTCCTGGGTCAGTAAAAGAGTTGCAGAAATGAGAGCTGGAAGTAGGAGAGCAATAGTGAAAGAGCAATAGAGAAAACATTTCCTTGAATTCCTGAAAAGATGGAAGAATTCCATGACCAAGCTTCCTGGACAGTTTGTAGGAACTTCTTGACAATGCCCAGTTTTTGAATCAAGTGGACTAGAGATCTAGGGGAGTTAGAATTCAGGATTAGTGCAGAATAGAGCCATGTGATAAAGTAGCAACCCTGCAATTAGTCCTTCAATAATACTGTGGCCTGTGGTCTGGCGGAAAAGGGCTGACTCGCAATTCTCAATACTTTTATGTATTTCATAGCCTTAACCTATAGTAGTACTATGAGCCTAGGTTTCCAGGGAGTCACTATAAGGCAAGGTTGCTTTGATGAGCTCAGAGTTAAGTCCTTTGTGATTTTTATTTTTTTTTGTTGAAATAAAAAATTGTGCTTGGCACATGGTAGGTTCTTAAAGGATGCATTTTGATTGTTTGTCTTGTATTCCTTTTAATGTTAGCCCATCTGTCTGTAGGGGAGCTAAGAACCCTTTTTACCTTTACTATATGGACCAAAAATTAATATTCCCAGAAGAAACCATGGTGGAGGCAAAATGGATCATACTCTGATATTTGGAACTTGGGGCGGGACAGGAGCCAAAAAAAAATAATTTGCAAGAAACCTCTAAAACTGAACTTGGTACACATAAAACTAGAGCCTTTGGATTCTGGGCCATATGTTACATATGAAGTCCTAAAAATAACAACTATAACCAAACAAAGTGAAAAGTGAAGGAAGATCTACATTATTTCCTCTTTGAAGGAAATCTATGTGAATACCGCATTGTGGTATGGATACCATCTGGTGGCAAAGTGAACATCCTCACTGATGAGACCAAGTGTCCATTTCCTTGTAAACAACATTCCATCTTAGGTCCTGTGCTTTAACAGAATCTACCTGGGTCCCTTGCCTGAAATGCTCTTCTTGGTTATATCTGTATCTTTCATTCATTAATTCCTTTTAAGGTTAAAATTATTGTGTCACCTCCTATTTCCCAAATTATTAGTTTTCTTTTAAGAAAATTACTTGTATTTATTTTGCATTTTTTTTGGTATTTAGTTTATGCATATGTAGGATGTATATATCTGATGGTCAAGTAGAATTTGAGCTCCTTGAGGGCAAGTAATGTTTGCTTTTGTCTTTGTATATTCTAAGTGTTAAGGAGAATGCATTGCACTTTTTTTTTTTAATCTACCTCTGATTTGATTGATAGAAGGACTTCTCAGTGTGGGAATTCTCTCGTCCTGTGCAGACCATTACCAGCTTTGCAACTTGGAGCAGTAGAGGCTAAGTGACTATCCAGGGTCACATAGCCACTGAGCCACAGAGGGGGGATTGGAAACAACATCTTCCTCATTCCAAGGCCAGCTCTCTATCCATTACCCTATGTCACCTCTCAGCAGGCATTTAATAAATGCTTGTTGAATAAAGATGAATTCAAAGATATTTTTTTCCTTAAGAAAAATCATACCTTTTAGATGCCTTAGTTGTTTCTCAGTTTATATTTGGACTGGAAAGTAAATCTGAAGAAAATATAACTGAATACAATGTTTGCTGATACCTAGAGCTAGAAGAAATGCTAAGAAATCATCTGATTTATTCCCTTCCCTTCAGGCAGATAAATAGCTGAACCATTCAAGGCAGATGATAGATTGCCTATCCTCCTTAAAGCTCTATGAAGATGGAAATTCTATGGTCTCCCTGCATTGCTTGTTCCAATTTCTTTGTCTACACTGTCAGGTTCCATCTTATATTTCCTCTTTTTTATCCATCCCCCATTTCCTCTTTTTGGGTCTAGAGAACAACTTTTTAGTACCCCTCCCACAAGAAATGAAAACCAAAACTCCTTCATGAGTGATACAGTGTGATATGTGATGCAATGGATAAAGTTTTGGACTTAAAGTCATGAAAACCTGAGTTAAGATTTTGTCTTACAGACTTACTAGATAGATGACCATAACATCTCTGTACCTCAGTTTCCTCATCTGTAAAATGGATGTGCTAATGGTACCCACTTCACAGTATTGTAGTGAGGATCAACTGAGGTAATATCACTAAGGAGCTTTATAAACCACAAGGCACTATATTTTGTTGTTCAGTTGTTTTCAGTTGTGTCTGATTCTTCATTATGCCATTTGGGGTTTTCTTGGCAAAGATACTGGAGTGCCTTGCCGTTTCCTTCTCCAGTTCATTTTACAGTCAAAGAAATTGAGGCAAACAGGGTTAAATGACTTGCCCAGGGTCACACAACCAGTAAGCGTCTGAGGCCAGATTTGTACTCACAAAGAGGAGTATTCCTCATTCCAGGCTGAGAGCTCTATCTGCTGCACCACCTAGCTGCCCAAAAGCACTACATACATATTAACTATTATTAAACAATGCTTATATGCCTGAAGAAATGCATCATGCACTTTTTGCACTAGCACAATGGTGGTTTCCCCAGTTATCAGTCTCCAAAACCATGCAGTATAGTCAAAATGATTTTGTGGCAGAATCAATTACTCCTCAGGAATTTACTATAGCACCTACCAGGAAGTCAGTGTCACATGGTGAAAAGAATGTTGAAATAGGAGTCAGGAGAGTGTCTCTGCCACTAACTAGCCATGTGACCTTGAGTAAGTAACAACTGCTTTGGCCTTCAGTTTCCTTATCTGTTAAGTGAGGGAATTGGACTAAATGATCCCTTGATGTCCCTGCCAGTTCTTAATTCTACTGTGCTGTGGGAGATACACAAAGAAAGATAAGATATAGCCCCTGCTCTAACAGATTTTACAGTCCAGTTTGAGAGCCAAATTTGTTAAGTACAAAGCAATTAGAGAGTGCACAAGACAGTATTTCAGTGCTAGACGGTGTGGTGCAGATAATAAGTGTGATTAGAGTTCACAGAAAGGAGAAGTCAGGTTGGCTGGAATGATAGAAGAAGGCTTTATGGGAGGATAGTGAGAGAGAGGGGTCCAGCAAGTCCGACCGATAATGCGTTTCTGTGGAAAAGACTGGACAAAATTCTAAACTATTGGCCCTAGAAAAATCTCTGGGGTTAGACTATCACGCTGCTTGCTGAATACTGAATACTTGGAGTTGCTTTGTCAGGCAGGCCATTAATCAGAACTCACGAATCAACCATCACTTCTGAAATCCAGCTTCGACAATAACTAATATTGATAATGACGACGTCAAGGCCCAGGAGATTCTGATATTCCTCTTGAATCATCAAAACAAGATTCAATTACATCCAGTCTAGTTTTAGCGTCGAGTATATTTCAAAATATTTGAATTCTTTGACGTTTTGTTGTTTGTAGCCACAAATCATGTTAATCATGAAAAAACTGTCCCAGACACCCATGAGTAATGAAAGATATTCAATAGTTATTATTATCAGGGTTTTGCAATTTATATTGCTAATTGGATTTCTGTGCTTCAAATGGAAGAATTTTTGACTCAGGTTATCAATGATCTAGCTGGAGTTATTGGTGAGTCACATTACTCACAGCTTAAAAAATACAATGGAAGTCCAGTGCTCCTACTCTAATCCTTAATCATAAATGTGACTGGAAAGAGGCCATGTAGAGTTACAGAACTGCAGCTATGTGGTGAAAGAAACAATCTCCTTCAGGTAAAAATTGTAAGTGACTGCAAATAAATACTGTGTACTTAGGAACAAAATTCTTAGCAGGCTTCAGATATTGCTATTTTCTCACAACTATAAGCTAGACCAAAAGATAATTAAATCTGGAAAGAAGCAGAAAAATATGTTATGCATTTTGAAGCCTGTTTGCTGTCAGTACATATTTTTAAGAAGCAAATATATCCCTCAGAGCAGTGAAATATAAGTTTCTTTCCCTCCAAATTCCTTTATTCCTTTTTTAAAAAAACAAACATTTATCAAATCCCTTTTATGTATAACATTCTATGCCAGGCTCTAAAGGCAAAATAAAGATAAATAGTAGGAGGCCCCTATACTTAAAGTACTTACAATCGAGGAGATATAATAAGGCTGTAAGCATTACCTCAAGTGTTGGAAGGTGTGAGTTCAAATCTAGGCTTTGCTACTTATTCCCTTTGTGATCATGGGCAAGTTATTTAATTCATTTGGGCTTCAATTTTCTCACCTGTAAAATGGGTGATGGGTTTGGACTAGGTTATTTCTAATGTCTTGTTCACCTTTAAATGCTATGCTCCTAAGAAAATAAGATGGTAGGGGTCAGGAACTATGGCTCCTAGTTTCCCTTTTTGTAGAATGAGTATATTGAATAGCTAACAGGATTCTCTCTGATATTTGGCTAAATTCCTCAATAATGTGGCAGCATTTTTCCAGTCTATCCATCTAGCATTGAAGACTACTCCTTAGTCCTATTCATGGTTAAAATTTGAGAGCTGGTTTTGACCATTTCCTTTTAATGATGCTCTAAGAAACTAATCTACTGAGGAGCTTAGGGTTTCTTCCATGTCAGGGCATTCTAAAGTAAAGTCACAGTCCTTGGTTTCTGGGATATCTAAGGAAAAACTTTGTCTTTTCTCATAGCTGTTGTGTAAGTCTTACACAGAGATAAATCTTGAAAACACAACATATAGAGAAGATGATATTTGTTAGCTAGGTTTCAAAATGAAAGTAGACACTGAATTCAATTCAGTGCATTTCAGTTCAATTCACAGAATCATATAATCCCCAAATCGCAGACTATCAGAGTTGGAAAGGACTTGAATGCACATCTAGAGCAACTCATGCCCCCAAAGAATCTCCACTGCAACATGCGAAATAAGTAGTCATCCTAGACTTTGCTTAAAGACCACCAGTGGGAGATATTCAATCCAATTAATTCAATTCAATTCGAAACATTTATTGCTTAATATGAGGTAGGTACTCTTCTAGGTGCTGGAGATAACAAGGACAAAAATGCAATGGTATCTACCTTCAAGGAGCTTACTTTCCACTGGGGGATGATCACAATGATGCAGTTTGGTGACACTAGACAGGGAAGGGGGTAGAGGTAGACAGAATGACTTAGAGATCCACAAGTGTAACTGATAACTCCAAAGGAACTCACCATTAGTGTATTCAACAACAATAAACCCATCACCACCACCAACATTATTACCACTATGACCACTACCACATACTTTGATTCTCTAGATATTTTAAAAAGTCTGTAACTCCCTAGCTTCTTGAATATTGAAACAGCTATGCGGTTCTGTGCATAAAATGCTAGGCCTGGAGTCAGGAAGACCTGAGTTCAAATCAGGCCTTGGACATTTTAGTTATGTGACCATGGGAAATTCATTTATACTATGCATGCCTCAGTTTCCTCATCTGTAAAATAAGGATAATGAGAGCACCTACCTCCTAGGATTGTTGTGAGGATTAGTATGAGATATTTGTAAAATGCTTTGCCAATATGAGCGCTAGCTTTGGTTTTTAATGTAAAATGGCATTACTTCAACTACTGGTGTGATTCAAAATGAACCTGTATTTCTGTACAGAGCTAGTGTTTCTGAACCTACAACATTTCTTGCTTTGCCTCTCAGGTACCAGAATAGGTAACTGAAAAATTGTGTGTTTAATGAACCTGATTGGAATATGTATCCTTGCATTGTTTTTGTATCTACGGGGGAGGTTTATCAAGGGAGTTTTTTTATCAGTTAATCAATAGGCATCTGTTAAGTACCTGCTAGGAGCTTGACACAATGAACGGAGTTTGAATTGAATAATAATTTGCCTAAGTAAATGTGATGCAAAGGAGTCTAAAAGCAGCATAAAATTTCAAGAGATTAGAGAAGGGAGAAGTCACTTTCAAGTGCAGCAATCATGGAAAGTTTCATGCTACATGTAGCATTTGGCCAGAACCTTGAAGGATAAGTACAGTAGATGTTAACAGGCAATCATTTTTGTTCCCCACCAGTTACACTGCTTGAATTTGACCACACCATAATCCAATGAAAAGAAAAATTTAACATTAGGACACTCATCATCTTAGACAGTGCATTAACTTTGGTTACTCAGATGTCAACAGTACCCACTCCAATTGGAAAGTTGGAGGGCAGAGCAAAAAACTCCCAAAGTCCCTATTTAATAATAACTCAGAAGACTACCTAACTCTTCATTTTTATTTCCCACCATCTACCCAGCTTGGATCCAACTCCCAGGCTGGGCACATTCTTCCCTTCCCCTACCTGGTATTCAGCTTCCTTTTGTGTGTTACCTTCCTTCATTAGATTGTAAGATCCTTGAGGGCCAGGGCTGTCTTTTTCTTATTTGTACCACCAGTGCTTAACACAATGCTTTACCGTTGTAGGTGCACAA